CAAAAATGGAGACATTACTTGCTTCATGATCATTTTATAATCCGTACTGATCAAAGAAGCCTCAAGTATCTACTTGAACAGCGTCTCAACACTCCTATTCAGCAAAAATGGTTACCTAAACTGCTTGAGTTTGACTATGAGATACAATATAGACAAGGGAAGGATAATTTGGCAGCTGATGCTCTTTCTCGTGTGGAGGGATCTGAGGTTCTGAGTATGGCTTTATCTGTTATGGAATGTGATTTGATGAAAGAAATACAGAGTTATTACGAGAAGGATTTGCAGATAAAGGAACTGATTGAAGAGTTGAAGAAGAAACCTGATTTTAAGAAGAATCTTACGTGGAAACAGAACATTTTGCGGAGGAAAAGTAAGTTGGTGATTCCTGCAGTTGAGGCATTACGCAATACGATCTTGGAGTGGTTACATAAGTCCTGTCATGGGGGTCATTCTGGAAGAGATGCAACACACCAAAGGGTCAAGAGTTAGTTCTATTGGAAGGGGATGAGCAAAGATATTCAACGCTACATTCGACACTGTACTACTTGTCAGCAGTGTAAGAATGAGACAGTTGCTTCTCCTGGATTGCTTTAACCGTTGCCCATACCTACTGTAATTTGGTATGATATCTCTATGGAATTCATAGATGGCTTACCTAAATCCTTTGGCAAGTCTGTCATTTTCGTAGTGGTAGACAGATTGAGTAAAGCGGCTCACTTTATTGCTTTGAGCCATCCTTATTCTGCAGCTTCGGTTGCTCAGGCCTTCCTGGACACGGTATATCGTTTACATGGTCTTCCTCAGTCGACAGTCAGCGACAGGGATAGTATTTTTCTCAGTGATTTTTGGAGGGAGCTCTTCACTTTACAGGGGGTGGCATTGAATTACTCTACTGCATACCACCCTCAAAGTGATGGTCAAACAGAGATTGTCAATAAGTGTTTGGAGACAGACTTACGTTGTATGACGAGTGAGAGACCCCATTTGTGGACTAAGTGGCTACCCTTGGCAGAGTATTGGTACAACACCACGTTTCATACTTCAACTCAGCTTACTCCATTTGAAACTGTCTATGGAAGACCACCACCAGTCCATCTGCCTTACCTTCTGGGTGAATCAACAGTGGAGGTTGTAGCACGTTCATTACAGGAACGAGAGGACATGATCTTGCTGCTTCAATTTCATCTGTTACGTGCTCAGCATTGCATGAAACAAAACGAGGACTTGCACCGTACAGAACGAAGCTTTGAGATTGGTGATTACGTTTTTGTAAAGCTTCAACCCTATAGCCAGCAGTCAACAGTGTTGAGATCAAACAACAAGTTGGCTCCTAAGTTCTTTGGCCCGTATAAGATTCTTGATCGTTGTGGTAGTGTGGCGTACAAACTGGAGTTACCACCATCATCTCTCATTCATCCGGTGTTTCATGTGTCACAATTGAAAGTCTTGGTCGGTAACGTGCACACTACTCAACACTTACCAACAGTGATTTCTGATGTTTTGAGCAAAGAACCAGAAGCGATTTTGGAGAGAAAAATGGTTCGACGACAGGACAAGGCTGCTACTAAAGTTTTGGTCAAGTGGAAGAACAATGGAGAGGAAGAAGCTACATGGGAGTTCTTATATGACTTGCAGAGAAAGTTTCCATCTTTTGAACCTTGTGGTCAAGGTTCTCTTGGAGGGGAGGATTTGCAATAGGAAATGGATGGCACGTGAGAAGTGTGTGGGAAGAATAAGAGAAGAAGGAAACACGTGGCAGCCATTTACGAGGCAGTTAGAAAAGGTCGTTGCAGAGTCAACAATAAAAGAAGAAGCTGAAACTTTTAGGAGATTAATTCGAAAGTGTGTGTAATTTTCTTCTTGAATCTTTCTCTGGTGTTTTCCAGTTTGTCTTTCCCTGCTCTAGAGTTGTTTCTTCGTGTAAACTCTTGGCTTGGTGAGATCGATTCTTTGTGTAATACATTGAATCGAGTGTTATACGAATCTATATTGAATCTTACATTTTACTGTATCACTATACCTGTCTCTCTTACTCCTACGGAACAGATTGAGCAGCAACCTATCGTTGAATTGTTTGAAACAGACCATACGACTACTGAAGTTGCAGTGCCTGTACCGATCACTGCTGATGCTGCAACACCTTCGGGTATCACTGAATCCACATTGACTGACCAACATGACGAACCTGATCAGTTACTGCAGTCGCCCGTTGTTACTACAGAAACAACAGTTGCCTAGATGGACTTGGCGAATGACACAAACTCTGCGCCAGATTCATTGGTTTCTTCTCCAGCTGAAGCCATTCCTGAGTCTGAACCAGAACTACTTGGTCGAGGTATGAGGCAGAAGAAACCACCTACTCGACTAGCAGATTACGTTGCGACTCTGCTACACAACCCGCCACCATCGGTTACTCCATATTCGTTGGATAACTACCTTTCTACTGAGAAATTTTCGACTAATTATCAAGCCTTTCTGGGTATTATCATGTCTGCGGTTTAACCTCGTAGCTATGCAGAAGCAATATTGGATGAAAATTGGCGGTTTGCAGTTACACACGAGATTGACTCGCTCGAGGATCAAGGTACTTGGACAGTACAAGCACTCCCTCCAGGGAAGAAAGCACTGGGCTGCAAATGGGTATTTAAAATAAAATTCCGAGCTGATGGTACGATTGATCAATACAAAGATCGTTTGGTGTTTCTTGGGAAATCATCAATTAGAAGGTATTGATTATAATGAGACCTTTGCTCCAGTTGCAAAAATGGTCACGGTTAGAACGTTTCTTCAGCAGGCGGCATCTTTAAACTGGGAGGTTCACCAGATGGATGTTCATAATGCTTTTCTGCATGGAGATCTTGAAGAGGAAGTTTATATGCAGTTTCCTCCGGGGTTTCGTACAAATGACAAAACAAAAGTCTGTCGCTTACGCAAGTCGTTGTACGGTTTGAAACAAGCTCCGAGATGCTGGTTTGCCAAACTCGGAACTGCGCTAAAAGAATATGGGTTTAAGCAGAATCGGTCTGATTATTCTCTCTTTGTTTACACTGCTGTTGGAGTTCGGCTGCATGTCTTGGTGTATGTCGACGATCTCATTGTGGCAGGAAACAATGCCGCTGTTGTATCGAAGTTTAAACAGTACTTGAGCAAGCAATTCCACATGAAAGACCTAGGGATCTTAAGGTATTTTCTGGGAATTGAGGTTGCTCGCAGTCCTCTTGGCATCTACTTATGCCAACGGAAGTATGCGGTCGACATCATTGCTGAGACTGGGTTACTTGGAGTTAAACCAGTTACTTTTCCACTCGAGCAAAATCACAAACTTGCTCATGCCAAGGATAATGCAATCTCCAATCCATCTCGGTACCGTCGCCTAGTAGGTCGACTTATATATCTCGGGGTAACAAGACCAGAACTTTCGTATGTTATACATATCTTATCTCAATTCATGAACAATCCACAGGAAGAACATTGGGATGCAGCGTTGCGAGCTGTGCGTTACCTCAAGAACAGCCCTGTTCAGGGTATTCTCTTGTGAGCGGATGCAGATTTGAAGTTGACGGGTTGGTGCGATTCCGATTGGGCTGCGTGTCCACTTACCCATAGATCGCTGACAGGATGTTTTATTCAGCTTGGAGGTTCTCCAGTGTCTTGAAAAACAAGGAAACAAGATGTGGTTTCGAGGGCTACTGCCAGCGATGGGCATCCCCCGTGTACGGAACCCATTGTTTTGCACTCAGATAGTTTATCAGCTATTCACTTGGGTGCTAATCCGATATATCACACTCGAACTAAACATGTGGGTAATGATGTTCATTTCATACGAGATGAGATCACACGAGGTACTGTTGCGACAAGACACGTCTCAACAAAGTCCCAACTAGCTGATATTATGACAAAAGCACTCAGACATCGAGAATTTGAAGCATTCCTATTCAAGCTGGGTGTTTGCAATCTCCACACTCCACCTTGAGGGGGGTATTGGGCCATATTTGGCCGCAGTAATTTATGTATGTAACCTGATCATATAATGGGAGTAGGGTAAATACAATATGTGTATATATGTTGCCGTAAGGCATTACTAGAGGAATAAGAAGTATCATTACAAGCTGCTGAAACCTTCTTGACAAGTTGCTCCAAGTATAATGTGTGTATACCAATTCAGAGGAAGATATAGCCTTGTTTGTTTACCTATCGCGCGAACTACGATTGTTGTTTTGTTTTTCTGTCACACAATCTGCGACATGTAAACGAACATAATTTTAGTTGCAGATTGCAGGTTAGTCGTATGTCATAGATAGTACGATATGTAAACGAACGTGATCTTAGTCGCAGGTCGCCGGACATCTAAACAAACAGGGCCTATATATATGAGAGTTTTATTGTTATTAACTAACAAATCAGTTGAATTGGTACTATTTTCCAGGGTGCTTATTTATATCAGTTTAAGCAAAGGAAAAAAATTATAAAGTTGACATATTGGTTTTGTCAAGGATCTAAACCAAAGCATAAGACTTGTTTCTACAATCTTGGAATGAAGTGAGGTTCGCTCAAGCTGCTATCACAAGACTTCAAGAAAAGGAGAAAGAGAGAAAATGGTAACTCGAATTCTCGATCAGCATACGAAAGTGGACAACAATCAGACAAAGAAAACATAGATGTAGAAAACATGATATCCTCATTCTAAAATTTACCATCCTAGAGGAATAAGGTAATAATGTAAAGTCAAACCCTGACACAGTCAATGGAATCATGTTGTTAAACTAAACCAAATAAGGAAGACTGGCTACAATAAGCCTCATGTTCCAAACGATGCTGTTTTTTCGACTCTCACAAGCAAAGCGAATAAAAAAGGTTCCCCATATTCATTGTCAACAAATTACTAAATAAAGAAAGCTGCAAACACTAGGCACTACTTTTATTCATGGTTTCTTCTTTCACAAGAAACAGTTTATAAAAAAGAAAAAAATATAATTTGATGATGGATGTTAGAAAAGCTATTAAAACAGGTGAGAGCCACTGTAGTGGAGAACCATGACGAATTCAGCACCAGAGCTCCCAACCATGGCGCTTTTTCGCTCAGCAATTGGAGTAGACTGGACCCACCAATCCACCAAGTTATGCAGCTTCTGTGTCGAACTCACAGGCTCTTGCCTTAGCCATATCTCCACCTGCAAGATCCAACAAAAAAAGGAGATCAAGATCTAAGCTAACTAGAGAGAGAAAGAGAGACATAGAAGATTGAATTACTTGGTTTTCGCTTTGGAGACCAAGCTTATACGCTAGATACTTCTTGACATATGAGACAGATAAGTTTCCATCTCTGTCAAGATGCAAAAAAAAAAAAAGAGAAAGAATCACTATCACATGTTATACTATGACTGTAAAGTAAAGATGTAGTGATCACTTACGTCCGTAGGTAGGGACTGGAGATTTGTGGCAGTAATGGCCTACCTGTGTTCCTGTAAACGCACACATTGAGTCTTTGAAGCTTCAATACATACATAGAATCCTAACCAAAGCTTAAATGACAAATGCAACGTCTTACTGATTTGAGGCAGCGATTAGTGAAAGCCAAACTTTCTTGTTACTTCCTTCAACTTTGTTTTCTGCTTCTTTAGAAGTAGCTGCTTCTGATGCGCCATCTGAACTCATATTCCCCTGCTTTCGAGGTCTCAAAACCCGCGCAACATTAGCTTTTCCTTTCCCCTTCTTACCAGAGATCTTCCCAGCTGAGGTAGTAGAGACATCTTCTTGCTTCTCTACACCATTGTTCTTCGGTTTCTCACCAGACACTTGTTTTCTATCACTTTCAGAGCTAACAAGGACATTTTTTTCATTTGCTTCACCAGGGACTTCCTCTGTATTGCCATTTGGAGTTATTGCAATCCCAGCATTCAGTATGGTACCGTTACTCAAAGACTTGCTAAGATCACCAGATGAAACTGGAACCTTTTGTATGCATCCATTAGATGTTGATGCTCCAGCCTATGATGCATCACTCATATAAGTAGCCAAATACATTAGAAACTCAAAAAATGACATTGTAATAAGTTTTTTGTTACTAACCAAACCATTATCATGTTCAATGTTGAGAACAATCTCTAAACCATTTCCATTTTCCATAAGATACTGTTGCGGTTCCAATTGGGTGTCATTCCTTTTAGGCGTCAGTTTCTTCCTTGAACGCCTCCTGAAATTCGGAACTAGTGTAGTAGACGAGCTCTTGTTCAGAGAAACAGCTTCCATTTCCTCCTCAAGCTTCTCAGTCTCCAATGGAGGATCATGAGATGGCTCAGGTGAGGTGGATACTCTAGGTGGAGTGGTGACGAGTGAAGAAGGTAGAGACGTCTTCTTCTTTCTGGAATATGTCAATGATGTTGAAGCAGTTTCAGCCACTGCTTCTGCTGCCTTTACACTTTTTGGCTTTTGTTTAAAGACCTTTAGCCTCAATTCATCCCATGTGTTATCCGACCTGCATTTTTCATAGTTGCATAAACATAGATGCATAGATGAAACATTGTATTTAATATTGGAGAATCTATATGTTACCGGAGTTTATCAAGAGGAGCAACACCAAGATCAACATTGCAGACAGGACAAGCTTTCAGATTCTCTACCACCAACTTGTCTTCTATGCATTTCCTGCAAACTGTTCCAAACACAACATAATAATAAGTAGAAGAACAGATATAATGTCTCCCATGTAGAATTTTGGTTGGTTTCTAACCAAAAAAAAGATGATAACTTTTTAAACACTCAGAGCCTTTTCAAGCAAAACACAACAATCTGAAGCAATAAAATCAAAATCACAAAGACTTATATATACACTGAAAACTGAATCATCCTTTTACAAAAACCTGTTTATGTTAATAGTTACGCAGATACATACATGTTAATAGTCCCAAACATTGTTTCAGCCAAAAGTAACAGTAACATAACAAGAAAGAGAACGTAATATAGGTACAAACTAATAAGACAAAATTGGATTAAAAAGAAAAGGCTCACATGTGTGGAGGCATTCGGAGATGGTGGTGGCACGGTCATAAAGATTGTTACAGATAGGACAAGTGAAGCATGCCTTCATGTCCTGCCTCTTCGCCTTCAAAGCAGTTATCTTCTTCTCCATCACCATGAATCTCGGATACAAAGATTCGTTTTTTTTCTTTTCTTTATGGGTTCACGTAAAGCAGCATGGTGCATGTACTACGACCAAGAAACCAAATCCAGAGATAATAAAGTTATAACCTTTCTCTTTGATTTCCGCAGAAACAATCGAAGCAGAGACGTGAAAGTTTGAAACTTTTCGTTTCCTTCTGTCTCTCTCGCTCGCTCGCTACGGGGAAAAAGAAATCTCTGTAATTACTAAGTGAGGGTTTTGATTTGTGAAGGTTAATTTGCTAAATATGTATTTTTTCCGAGAGGGTCGGATTTGAAACTTTATACAGTTGGAGCGCTTAAACTGTCAAAATGTAAACTTTTGGTGGGGCAAAAAGAAATAACATGTAGTTCCTAAAATTGGGATGTGAAACGCGTGTAACGCATGTTTTATTCAACAGTAAATTAATTTATGTTTCTTGTATGGAAAAAAGGACAAATAAAATTAAAAAACTGCCATGTATATTTCTTCAAAATTTTGAAATAAAAATATTCACAGATTTGTGTTTATTTATAGGGCTTTTTGCAGAATTGACCTGAAACTTGAAGTCAACCACAAAACTAACCTCCTTTTTTTTTGGAACTTTATTTTGCCCAATTCACCCCACAAGTTCATATAATTCACAAAAATGCCATCCATTTTTTTTTTTTTTTTGGTTTCGAAAATAACATATTTACTCTCTGACCCTCATCATCTTCAAATAATTACAAGATTGCCATTGTCATCAATACTCCAACAACCATGAACAACCAATTTTGAAGCTCTTAATGCCTCCAAATTCCATTTACCCTTCTTCTTTTTCTATTCTCATGAACTAAACAACACATTACAACACATATCTCTCACTTTCTCTCCACAATGAGCTAAAAAAACCCAAGATTTTGATTCTACATTTTTTAGNTGAAGCTCTTAATGCCTCCAAATTCCATTTACCCTTCTTCTTTTTCTATTCTCATGAACTAAACAACACATTACAACACATATCTCTCACTTTCTCTCCACAATGAGCTAAAAAAACCCAAGATTTTGATTCTACATTTTTTAGGGTTCATATAGTCAAAGAAATTAAAGATTCAAGGTGGATTACCTTTGTTTGAGCTTCTGAGTGCTTGATTCTACATTTTCTAGGGTTCATATAGTCAAAGAAAGTGCTCTCACCAATTGAAGGTATGAAATCGAGTAATTTTTTGCGATCTGTTCGTCCAGACGACTGAAATTTCAGTCGTCTGCTTTCGTCCAGTCAACGCAGAAATTATATTTGCAATTGACTTTGCAATTTGTTTCCAGAGACGACTGAAATTTCAGTCGTCTGCTTTATGTTGGCTACAAAAAAATACCTTAAGAATCTAGACGACTGATATTTCAGTCGTCGTATGTTAGTTTTGCATTTGACTAAAAAATTTCAGAATTTTGACTTTCTCGGACGACTGAAATTTCAGTCGTCTGCGAAAAAACTTAAATATCAATTTTTTATTGGAACGCACGACTTACAATAGGTTAGTTTTGCAATTGTGAAAAAAAACTTTAACTTTCTAGACGACTGAAATTTCAGTCGTCCCAGGGACGACTTACAATTCAGTCGTCCAGGATTTTATTCCGAGATTCTGGTCAAACCTCGTATATCCTAGACGACTGAATTATAAGTCGTCCCAGCGA